AGAGGTGGTTGGTATAATCAAAAGTCGGGAGGTGAGAGGGTCTACACTAGCTGCAGCACATGGCAAAACCTGACGCCCCTCCCACCCCCACCCCCCCCCCGGTGCTAACTTATGTATTTGGAGGGGAAGGACCATGCGGCAGGAGATTCTTGGTATGTCAATCTGCTCATCACCTTTACACAGGTAGATACACCCAGCCCGGAGCTCTTTCCCTCCTGAGCGTAGATTAAAACCTCATCCGCGGCTTGCAACTGCTCCTGGCACTTTTCAGTCTTAGGTGCCTCACCTCTCCGGGATAGCACCATATGGCACTGTCATCTTCATGTACTAAACATCACATCCCTGAGACGCCGTAGGCATGGCTGCAGTCTTATCTTAACGCGGCGTAGGATAGGTTATTCGTGGGATATTTCAGTCCAAGACAGCTGTTGCCCTGCTTGTGTTGAACAAACACATGATCACAACTGTCCCAAAATGAAAATATGTCATTACATGGTAGCCGCTGCTGCGCTCAAATGAAATGCGCAGCCACACCTACCCCATCTCAGAGATGAATGTACTTCTTGTTCTACTCTTGAAGGTACAAAGCTACCTTGAACTCTTACTGTCCAACCAGACACCCAGACATGTTATCTCGGCGAGGAGAGAGCAGATCAGCAGATCGCCTGCCGGGGCCTTCCTGTCCCCCCCCCCGACACGTTGACGCCCACTCCCTGTAATCGTATAATTCACCTAGACATATTTGGTACGCATTCAGGACACGAGATGGTGACGTGTGTTCGTATTCAGTGTCATCCACCATAGATGGAATGGCCATATCATATAACACCCACCCTAACACAGGTCGGCCCCCAGCATACGCCGGGGAAACAGCGCTGGTCGAGTGACCGTTGAATGCAGTGGGCCTTGGACAATCACGTGCGCATACCCATCACCACGGTAAACAGTGCGCACTCACATCTGCAGGCAGATTGGGCAATGGTTGCACAGCAGGCACAGCACATCATCGCGCTGCGTCATTTCTTTTAAACACCCCTCCCGCCCCCCTCCTTCCCTCTTCCCACCCGACCTTCTTCCTTCGATATCTCACAACTTACATACCATCTCATGTACAGTCATAATCCTTGCAAGCGATATGGCGTGTCACAGGAGCGCGGTTTGGAGTACAGCCAGGCAAGATTTCCCATCAGCTGTATCGGACTTAGGATGGCATCAGTGGTGGAAAAAGAGGGTCCTGGCTGCGCTGCGGTCCGCGCCGCTCACACACCCTATCTTCTGCAAGGATAATGTCTGTACCAACTTTATCGAAAGTAAACCATCGGAAAAATTCTTGGAGCCAAACGCGACCCCCCCCCTCTACTTTGGAAGTGACCTGGCAGCAGAACGAACAAACAGTTTTGTTCGCTGCGGATGATAGGCGTGTCAGTGAG